ACAGACGCTTCCGGACCCCAACAGAGCTCCGAGGCATTGCCAATGGAGGGGGAGGTGGGCCCCCTCGTCACAGCCGCTCTAACCGCCTGCACGACAGTGGCCATAGCGACCCTCCAGTGGCGGCAAGCCTGGCTGCAGTGGGAGGGGGCCTCTTTGTGCGCATGCACCATTGGGCGCTTGTGTGCATCCTGTGGAGACTTGGGGGAAAAAAACCTGTTCGGAACGGGACATGGGCGGCCGCCGGATGCCACGACCTACCACCGGAAACACGATCAGGCGCCCGCCCTTGCCCTGCGGTTTCCGGAAACGAGTACCTCGTAGGTACTAGTTTTTTACCCTGCATCTTCGGCGGGAAGCCTCGAGTTCGCCACGGGAGCTCTACGCTGCCCAGATCTGGCGCTGTGATCGCGCCCGGAAAATCCGCCTATCTTCCGTCTCTGTAGCGTGGCTAATGCTCCGTGTGACCGCAGCCCATATTTATTTAAAATATTTCTACCATGCCCTCTCAGTGTCTCTCACTGGGAAGCTTCGACCTTAGCAGCTAAATCAATAAGAGCAAACAGGAACAAAAATCAAACAATCAAAAACTGAATCAGCCATAAAAATAGAAAATTCCATCACATGACCCGCGGCAATAAAATCAATAAAAATCAGACAGGGTAAAACTACTAGCAGAGGAAGGAAGTAATAACACAGTAAATAGACCAGATACAGTGAAGGAAGAAAAAAATCAGCACAAAGATCCTGATCAAAATGAAAATACAAAGGGAAACTGGGGGAAAAACCAGAAATTGGAATCAGTAGAAATCAAAGTCAACAGAAATTCTGGGAGAATAAGAAAATGTTTTTTTGCCAAGCACCTAAAGACCCACAACCTTGGTTCCAGGTACACCGCTGTAGAGAGGGAATGCCACAGTTGATATGCCACCACTGAAAAGGCCCTGCATCTGTGGCTCTCATTCAAATAAATTGTGAACATGGGGGCACACAACAACAGTTCCACTGTAGCTTGTCTGAAATGACAGGCAGGCAGGCTTATCTGGGAAGAGGCAGTCTTTCGAGTATTCTTCTCCCAGCCTATTCAGGGCTTTTTGGGGCAACAGCCACTATTGCTCATCTGAGTCCCCCTTCAAGAGTCAAGCACAACCAAAGGAAAAGAAAAAGGACTACACTACAGGCTTGTTCTGACAGAGTGTCTGTTTGTGTCACAGCGTTGCCAACCTCCAGGTGGGGTCTGGAGAACTAGAATTACAAGTGACCGCCAGACAACAGAGATCGGTCCCCCTGGAGGAAATGACTGCTGTGAAGGGTACACTGTATGGCACTATCTATACCCCACTAAGGTCCTTCCAGGGGTCATTTCCTGCAGGAGCGCACAGGAGCAGAGCTCCGGCAGTAAAGAGCCCAGGGGGCGGGCACATGCAACAAGCCCCACCCCCTGCTCCCAGCAGCCCTCAGTCAGAGTAAGAAGCAGCCAGGTAAATTGCAGAGCCCCCTCCCGGCCCCCGGTCCAAAACAGTCCAGTGGCACCTTTAAGACCAAGTTTTATTCAGGTACAAGCTCTCCCTCCTCTGCGAGGGACAGATCTGCACGTCCCCTCCCCCCAATAGCTAGCAATCCAAAACAGTCCAGTGGAGCCTGAGCGGAGAGTGTTGCCTTCTGACACACTTCCGGTGATGTCAGGGGTGGGGCACATGCAAGTAAGTTATGCTAATGAGTTGTGCTAATGAGCTCCTGCACCTCTTTTGCTAGGAAATGACCCCTGGTCCTTCCCCTCCCCAGGGTCCACCCCCCGCCCATCTCCAGGAATTTTCCAACCCAGAGTTGGCAACCCTGTGGCACCTATAAACTGTGTTGGTTCTAAAACAGAGCACACCCAACAGCAGCACTGGCAGGCAGTGTTGACCACAGTTACCATTTATGGCTGCCAACCTCCAGGTGGCGCCTGGAGATCTGCCGCTTTTACAGTCCTGATGGCCAAGATCAGTTCCCCATAAGAAAACGGGTGCTTTGGAGGGTGGACCCTGTGCCATTATACTCAGCCGGGGTCCCGGTCCTCCCCAAGCCCTGCCCAGGCGCCATCTCCCAGAACTCCAGGCAATGCTCCCTCTAAGCTGTGGAGTCTTGTGGGCAAAAATTCTACTTTGTGAGCTACTGGCCTTAAAGTTGTGAGCCAGCAATTTTGCTACTGCATGAATTAGTTTGCTCTGGAGCCATCCCTTCCTGAACTAAGACAAAAATCTGAGCTGGAGGCTAAAAAACTGTGAGCTCGCTCACACTAATTCATCTTAGAGGGAACACTGACTCCAGGTATCTCCCAACCCAGGACTGGCAATCCTATCTACCATTCCCAAATTTCAGTGTGGAGAGAGCCAGTTTGGTGTAGTGGTTAGGAGCGCAGACGCTAGCCCAGGTTTGATTCCCCACTCCTCCATGTGCAGCTGATGTCCAACAGGAACAGCTCCCCGCCCTCCTCTAAGTGACAGCCCTTCAAAGACTTATTGGTATAGCCCTTAATACGTCTCCAGAACTTTCCCAATCTGGAGTTGGCAACCCTGGTTGAACAATTTTTCCCTGCAGTGCTAGCTTTCTACTTGTGTGGAAATGTTTCTTGTGAAAGAACATTCAGCGTTGGAATCTCCCATCTGTAAGTGGCACATTCCATTCTACCACCATGTTAGGGTCACCAACCTCCAGGTGATGGCTGGAGATCTCCCCCTAAGGGACCGCCTTTCTCCACATGTTTCTCGAGAGCACTAAGATCTGGATAACAAAATCAACTGTTTCTTCCAGGACCGAAAGAGGCCAGGTTGGCTACAATGAGGGCCAGGGCCTTCTCCGTGGTGGCCCCTCACTGGTGGAATGAGCTCCTGGATACGGTTGCCAAATGGGCCCGGGGGGCGGGGAATCCCCCGCTTTGGTGGCCCAATTTCCGCGGCGGCGGAATCGGGCCCCAGGGGGAACTCCGCCCCCAAAGCTGCGTCACCAGAGGTGACGCAGCCACACTGCTCACGTTGGGGGCGTGGCCCAGATCGTCAGGGGGGAACCCTATGGTTTCCCCCCGATGATCTGGGGCACACCCCCAATGTGAGTGACGTGTCTGCATCACCTCCGGGGATGTAAAACGGAGGTCTTCCACCAGGCTTTCAAGTAGGGTGCCGCCTCGACTTTATGGCCCTGGCCCTAACATCAGAGATCGATTTAGGGGGGATCGTGGGGGATCGCAGTTCCCCCGGGTGAGGTGCGGGGGGTGGGGCACACAACGAAGCCCCACCCCCTGCTTCCAGCCGCCCCGCTTCCAGCCCTCATTCAGCCAGGAGGAGGCAGGAGATGAGGGAGGGTAAGTTGTTTCCTCCCCGCCTCTCCCCACCCCTGCCTGCCTGGGGCCAGGGAGGGCCTTGGCGGGGCTTCCTTGCACTCCCGCCAGCCTTGCAGGTCCACCGCCAGGCCCCTGATGTCAGGGGGTGTGGCATATGCTAATGAGTTATGCTAATGAGTTCCCCTAGCTCTTTTTCTACGAAACGACCCCTGCCTAACATCAACACCACCAACAACCTGGCGTTAACATCAGCACCACCGACAGCTGGAAGTTTAACAGCTTGGCAGGAGCCTGGAGTGACAACAGAATTCAGTGATAACAGAATGTCGCCATCTTGTAATAACATCATGTGCTGTGTAACGTGACGGTTTAATACCTAAACTTATTTTAATGTTGTTTATATTGGAATTTTAATGTATATTTATAGTGGATTTCCCCCCGCTTTGGAGGCCCAGAAGTTGGGCTATATGTCCTTTTGCCCCAAATCCCGCTCTCCTGAGGCTCCAGCCCCAAATATCCAGGTATTTCCCAACCCGGAGCTGGCAACCTTACACCTGACGTGCATAAGCCAGGCATGCCCTACCTTACTGCTGAAACAGCAGCCAAGGTGTTTCAACAGAAGTTTAAAAACGGAACCAAAGAGCTACAGTGCCACTCCCCTCCCCAAGGGGGGAAAAAAAACCCCTTCTAAAAATGACAAACAGTAGCACAACAAAATTATTTCTAACTATAGATGGTTGGAAATGGACTGCCAATACAGGATAGTGGTAACGGCCTATGGGAAGGATCACATCCAGGGGGTGCAAAGTGCCATCAAGTCACAGCTTTTCCCCCCGCTTTGGAGGCCCAATTTCTGCCGCGGTGGAATCGGGCCCTGGGGGAAACCCCGCCCCGGCGTGCACGTCATCCGGATGTGACGTGATGACGCCGGGCACACTGGGGACGGGGCCACAGCCATTTGAGGGGAAAACATAGAGTTTTCCCCTCAAATGGAAGTGGCCCCGCCCCCAGTGTGCCCGGTGTCATCACGTCACATCTGGATGACGTGCATGCGGCGCGCGCGCTGACGCCGCCGAACGGGAGACCCCCGCCGCCAGGTAAAAACAATTTGGCAACCCTAGGGTCAACCCTGCTTCGCTTCCAAGATCTGTTGAGACTGGAATCTCCCTAGGCCATCCAGGTCAGTATCTTGCTTACAGACCTGGGAACCAATGAATCGAAATGTCAGCCATGTTGTCACATGGCTTGCTCTTGTGATCCACACTCACTCATCATTTCTTTTCCGTTTCCCTCAAGATGCCAAGGAAGGCATCTGTTAGATTGCATTTTTCTCTCTTTCTGAGGGGAGAAACGTTCCCTCCCTGCCGCCTACTCGAGAACCCTGCGTCGAGACTAGCAGTGTCAAATATGGCTCGGGAGACCCTGGCCCCAGCTCCTGCCAACCTAGAAGTTCGACAGCAAGAAATTGCAAGTAGATAAATAGGCAAGAGCGTTCCGTGCGCCTTGGTGTTTAGTCATGCCGGCCACATGACCATGGAAACGTCTTCAGACAGTGCTGGCTCTTCGGCTTTGAAACGGAGATGAGCACCGCAACCCTAGAGTCGGATTTGACTGGCTTTCGAGCAAGGGAACCTTTACCTTTAAACATGCATAGGATTGGAGTGGGATGGCCTCTTGGAGGACATTGTTCTCCACCAAAGGAAGACTCAGGAGAATAAGGGAATCATAGGTATCTACCCACTGTGTTCCATTCACCTGTTTATGGAGTCATACCAAGTCAGCTTCAACCTTTCCTCCATGGTTTCACTCATTATACTGTAGCCATAAGCAGTCATCGTTTTTCTTTTAACACCAAAGCTATTTTAGAAAGAACTGTTGAATACAAGGTGAGCAACCCAAGACAGTTCAACAAGCAAGCAAGAAAAAGAAATTGCTACAAGCATCCTCTTATTAGAAACACGACCCCAGCTGGACTCCGGGGCAAGTGATGCTCTGTATTTTTGGTGCTTGGGGGGGGGGTCAATAGTGTGAGGCTTCTAGTGTCCTGGCCCCACTGCTGGACCTCCTGATATCACCTGGTATTTTTGGCCACTGTGTGACAGAGTGTTGGACTGGATGGGCCATTGGCCTGATCCAACATTGGCCTCTCTTATGTTCTTATGTAACAGCATTCCGTGCGCCTCAGCGTTTAGTCATGCCGGCCACATGACCACAGAGAAGTCTTTGGACAGCGCTGGCTCTTCGGCTTGCAAACGGAGATGAGCACTGCACCCCTAGAGTCGGATCCGATTTCCGACTGGCTTTCGAGCAAGGGAAACCTTCACCTTTACCTTTATAACCCATTCGAATGTAACCTTTTGACAAACCTGTGCCAGAAGCCCCATAAAGCAGTACACAAGTAGGCCTTATCAATCCCCAAAGATGCTGAAAACTAAATTGCTGTGCTTCTGGAGCCCGCATTACCATTTGCGGTCAATGGCAAAAGCTAAATGCACACTGAAGGTACGATTAGGGGCCTCCCGTTTGCTATCTTGCGAGGAATAAGATTAACCTTCTCATTATAGAAAAACCTATGCCACAGAACTCGGGCCCAGAAGTACCGCTGAGTAAATGGCATTGTTAGCCAGGAGATAAAAATGTAAGCTAGCCTGGCATACAAAACGGCATAAACAATAGGGGGTGGGGTGGGGGAATGACTTCAGTGAAGGCGGGCGAGCGGATCACGCGGCCCCCCGTCCTTCCTCGGGTCCATAAGATCAGCTCGTACACAGAGGAGGCAAAGGGAACGCAGGCGGGCACTGAGAACAGCACAAAAGCGGGTTCCTCTTGCTAACAAAGCAATAAAAGGGGTCTATTTCGAGCCCAGCGCTCACACCCAGGCACTGCCACCCACGCTGCTCCCATTCATGGCCCCTCAGCCTGTCTTACTGTGGATAGGCGCGGAACAACGGGCTGGTGAGCCGGGGACACCAATTAGGACGGTAATCCTCCAACCTGTATCCTGTGCGAGGGTTACTCATGGGCTGCGAGAAGGAGGCTCATTTCGATAATTGACAGTCGCTGTGTGCCCAGAGTGCCTGCCCACAGAAGCGGTGGCCCGCTGTGCCTCTGCCATTATTCCTCGCTCCATTTTTTAACCTCCTTCCGCTCAGGCTGTGCTGGCAGAGGATAAATCTACCGTACCTCTGCCTCTGGTGCAGTTAGATCATTGTCACTTCCGATGCTGAGGGCGCAATGCCTAGCCATCCTCTTGAGGAAGTCGCTTGATGTGACTTGGCATGAGTTACCGTGCTCTGCTTCCGTCCTGCCAATCCAGGGTATCCAACTTCCAGAGATTTGGGGGGGTGCAGCCTGGGAAGCCAGGTTCTGGAGAGGGGAGGGAGTTCAGTGGGGGTATAATGCCATAGAGTCTACCTTCCAAAGCAGGTTTTCTTCCTCCAGGGGAACTGATCTCTGTCGTCTGGAGATGAGCTATAATTCCAGAGGATCTCCAGGCCCCACCTGGAGGCTGGCAACTTTCTTCTAATCAGAAGCCATCCCCAAGGCAGTGGTTTAAAAACTAAGGTGAGGAACAGGGTTGCCAGTCTCCAGGTGGTGTGACAAAAAAATGGCTATACAGTGGGTGTGATATACTATATCTGGAAAACACTGAAAAATGAGTCTTATGCTGTGCTGCTGGAGAAGACTCTTCAAATACTTCAAGAAAGCAATCATGTCCCCCCTCAATCTCCTCTTTTCCAGACTGCACGTTCCTGGGTCCCTCAGCCTTTCCTCATAGGGCTCGGTTTCCAGGCCCCCGATCACCCTCATCACTCTCCTCTGCACGCGCTCCATTCTGTCCACATCCTTTTTGAAGTCAGGCCTCCAGTACTGCACACAATGCTCCAGGTGTGGCCTAGTACATCCCCAGTTAGCACATCAAGACAAAACAGAATCCGTTCCCCTGACATCTAGTTTTTATAAAGCACAAGATGGGTGAAACACCAGTTCACCTTCCTGCATAGCCATCTCTGTCCAAAAGCTGGATACTAGTGTATGATCATCTGCCTGTTTATCACACCTACACACTGACAGAGGAAGAATGGGTGAAAAGCCCTAGAAGTGAAAAGCACATATGAATCTGGGTCTATGTATAGGAAGTGCATCTAGGGAAAGTCAATCTACAGCCTGGCTTTCTTGGTTCCCCCCACACTGACTCACCGCAAAACCCAGGAGCTGAAGAAACCTATTCACCCTATCCTGGCCCATCTCTGACATTCTCAGGTTAATGGTAATCCATGTGCTAGGAGAAGCTGAAGGCAGCCGGAAAGGAGGAAGACCCAACATGAGGTGAATTGACTCCATAAAGGAAGCCATGGCCTTCAGCTTGCAAGATCTGGGAAGAAAGGTTGGTAATGACAGGATGTTTTGGAGGTCATTGATTCACAGAGTCGCTCTAAGTGCGAAGGGACTTGACAGCAGGTAACATACACATGTGCTGGAGAACCAATGTGGTGCAGACGTTAGATCAGAACGGGAGTTAATCCTTCCATACCTCCAGCTATGAATCTCATTGGGTGAATTAGGCCCTTTTACTCTTATGCTTTGGAAGGAGCTGCGGGTGGCTCCAGTGGTTAAGACACTGAACTGCAGGCTGTCGAAGGTCAGTAGTTCAGCAGTTCGAGACCCAGGGTGCCGCATGACGGAGTGAGCTCCCGTCTCTAGTTCCAGCTCCTGCCAACCTAGCAGTTCAAAAGCAAGAAATTGCAAGTAGATAAATAGGTACCACTTCGGTGGGAAGGTAACAGTGTTCCGTGCGCCTTGGTGTCTAGTCATGCCGGCCACATGACCACGGAAACATCTTCGGACAGCGCTGGCTCTTCGGCTTTGAAACGGAGATGAGCACCGCAACCCTAGAGTCAGACTCAACTGGCTTTTGAGCAAGGGAACCTTTACCTTTACCCTTACGCTTCAGCGGGAGGGCGGGGTAGAGATTTAATAAATTAATAGATAAAACACTCTTTTTCAGCCTAAACCTACCTCACAGAGGTCAGAAAGGGTAGTGTCGCTGACCCTCAGGAGATTCCCCCAGAGCTACAACTGATCTCCAGGCTACAGAGAGTAGCCCTCCTGGAGAAAACGGCTGCTTTGGAGGGGGGACCATATGACATTATGCCCCTCTGAGGACCCTCCCCCCCAAAAAACTCCACCCTCCCTAGGCTCCACCCCCAAAACCTCCAGGAATTTCCCAGCATAGAGTTGGCAACACTATGGGGGATAGTGGGGGAACCATGTAAGGTAGCCTGCGCTCCTTGTAGAGAGAACACGATCAAACTGGGGGGGGGGGGAAACACCAGTGTGCCATAATGGCTAGAGTGTCAGAGCAGAACCTCAGGGAGGACCTACTGTTCTAGAGTCACACCCTCTCATCATAACTTACCTCACGGGGTTGTTGTGAGGCTAAACTTCGGGAGACAAAACCCATGTCTGGTACCCTGAGCTCTTCGGAGGAAGGATGGGATAAAAATTTAACTCAGTTCATTCCCCTCCTATAGCCTGTGCGCACCTGGCGAAACGGAGAGCTGAGGAAGACTGATCGTCTGTCTTAAGCCAGTGCTGTTATTCACTTTGCCTTCCGGCAAACAAGTTACAGCAACTCAAGTCCACCCATTTTGCTCCACTGCTGAGCAAGGTTCAGTCTCTGGGCTTCCCCACGGTGGAAGCCAAGAGTCTACCTGCTACACCCCTCTGGCTCTCTTGCCCAGTAATAGCTTTTAATATCTCCTTTAAGGGAAGATGCTGAAGAACAGGGCTATTTTGGGGCAGGAACGCACAGGAACGGAGTTCCGGCTGGCTCCCGAGTTGGCCACGCCCAGCAGGAACTCATTAGCATAATAGGCCACACCCAACAGCAGAAACTCATTAGGATTGGCTACATTAGGGGTGTGTGGCCTAACATGCAAAGGAGTTCCTGCTACAAAAAAGCCCTGGGTTTTGACAATAAACAAGGTAAACAGAATAAGAAGGGAAAGGTGGGTGTGGCTGGATGACCACACTTCTGGTAACATGGGGGTGTGGCCTAATGCGCTAATGAGCTGTGCTGTCAGGGGTGTGGCCCAATATGCTAATGAGTTCCTGCTGTTTGGTGTGGCCTATTATGCTAATGAGTTCCTGCTGGGCTTTTTCTACAAAAAGAGCCCTGCTGAAGAACATTAAAAGCATGAGATCAGCCACACGGGACCAGACCAATGAGCCATCTAGCCCAGTATCCTGTTTCCAATAGTAGTGACCAGTCAGATACTACAGGGAGGCCCACAAGGAGGCCTTGGAGATTAGGGGGTAGTGCCAGGGGAGGGTGGAGTTTGTGGAGGGAGCTCAGGAGGGAGTCTATGCCATAGAGTTTGGGTTGCCAACCTACAGGCAGCACCTGGCCATCTTCCACTATTACAGTTGTTCTCCAGGCAACCAAGAGCAGTTCCCCTGGATAAAATGGCTGCTTTGGAGGGTGGACTCTATGGTATTATATACGTCACTGAGGTTCCTCCTCCTCTCCAAACCCCGCCCTCCACACCCTCCCAAATCTCTAGGTATTTCCCAATCCAAAACTGGCAATGCTACACACAGTTCACCCTCTGAAGCCACAATTTCCTCCTGGGAAATTGACCAGGAGGTTGGCCATCCTGGGCAAACTTCAGTCCTCTCACAGGTTGGGTGCTCCCCACCAAAAGACAATCAGAGAGGCATTTTGCCTCTGAACCCAGAAGCCCCACTTAGCTTTCATGGCTAACAGCAGGGCTATTTGGGGGCAGGAACAGTTCCGGCTGGCTCCTGAGTTGGCCACGCCCAGCAGGATCTCATTAGCATAATAGGCCACACCCAACAACAGGAACTCATTAGAATTGGCAACATTAGGGGTGTGTGGCCTAACATGCAAAGGAGTTCCTGCTACAAAAAAAGCCCTGGCTTTTGACAACAAACAAGGTAAACGGAATAAGAAGCAAAAGGTGGGTGTGGCTGGATGACCACACTTCTGGTAGCATGGGGGTGTGGCCTAATATGCTAATATGCAGGGGTCTTGTTGTAGAAAAAGAGCTGCCGGAGCTCATTAGCATAACTCATTAGCATAACTTATTTGCATATGCCACGCCCCCTGACATCACCGGAAGTGACAGAAGGCCACACCCCCTGACATCACCGGAAGTGTGTCAGAAGGCCCGGCTACTTACCCTCCTGCTTCATCCTCATTCCCAAACGGAATGAGGATCGAAGCAGAGGGCGGGGTAAAGAAGGGGGCGGGGCTTCACCACGTGACCGCCCCGCCCCCTAGAGGTTCTCTTCCGGAGCTCCGTACCTGAGAGCTCCCCCCCGACTAGAGCCCTGCTAATATGCTGTGCTATCAGGGGTTTGGCCTAATATGCTAATGAGTTTCTGCTGTTGGATATGGCCTATTATGCTAATGAGTTCCTGCTGGGCTTTTTCTACAAAAAAAGCCCTGGCTAACAGCCAATAATAGACTAATCCTTCCCAGATCTGTACCACCCCCTCACAACACCTGATAGTAGTGAGTTCCGTTGTGTGAAGCTGTACTTTTGTTTTGTCTACCATGAATTTCCCACTAATCAGTTTCACATTAGTCCTGTTCACATGCTATAGTGTACTTGTGTACATCTGTTTTTAAGAAAGAGCTAACGCCTGTTCACTTTATGAATTAAACTGGGGATCAGTACCTGGACAAATGCAGGGTTTCACATGTTTAGCTGTACATGCGTTGACTGTAATGTGAGAATTACTCAACACATGTACAATCAAATGTATATGGTACATGGATTGTACATGCGTTCACTGTAACGTATGAACTGGGCTAGAGTGACCTGGAGCTCTAAGATGAATAGAGAAAGAGAAAAGTGTCTACTTATTAATGTTCTCTAACCCTGTATAATTTGGTAGACCTCGGTCATGGCCAGTGTTCCCTCTAAGCTGAGTTAGTGTGAGCTAGCTCACAGTTTTTTAGCCTCCAGCTCACACATTTTTCTCTTAGCTCAGAAAGGATGGCTCCAGAGCAAACTAGTCTGTGCAGTGGCCAAATCCCTCACTCACAACTTTAACACCAGTAGCTCACAAAGTAGAATTTTTGCTCACAAGACTCCACAGTTTAGAGGGAACATTGGTCATGGCACCCCTCAGTCGCCTTTTTTTCTCAGCTAAACTGCCCCAGATGCTTAGGCTTGTCTTATGGGGCAGGCTCTCCATCCCTGTGATGGTTGCTG